AAAAAAAAAAAAAGTTGAGCACGGTGGCTCAAGCCTGTAATCCCAGTACTTTGGGAGGCCAAGCCAAGAGGATTGCCTGAGCCCAGGGGTTCGAGATCAGCCTGGGCAACTTGGTGAGACCTTGTCTCTACAATATATATAAAAAAATTTAGCCAGGCATAGTAGTGCATGCCTGTAGTTCCAGCTACTTGGAAGGCTAAGATGGAAGGACCGCCTGAGCCCAGCGGGTTGACACTGGGTTGGCTGTGAGCATACCATTGCACTTCAGCCTGGGTGACAGAGTGAGACTCTGACCAAAAAAAAAAAAAAAAGCATAGAACTGAAGGGCTGGGTGGTCCCTTTGCTTTGTCACACCCAGCTAGACCTCTTGTTCCCTTAGGCTTAATGAAGTAGTCTGGCTCAGTCCTCTGGGGGCTGTTTTCAAGAGCCACTTTCTATCACACACTGCCATGGAAAACACGTTACCTAATTGCACAAAGATCATTTTGAAGGGAAGCATCAAAGGAAAATGGAAAGTCATATATGGATTTACCACCCCCATCCCCTTGACTCTAGTTCCTAAAGATTGCCTTCTTGAATTCTCATCTTTTCTGGTTTCAGTCTCTGATCCTGAGACCTCATGGTGACAAGGAACAACCTCTATTGCATACAATTGATGCCAATGGCCGCCTCTCTGAGCAGATTGCTCAAGAATTATGTAACTAGCACTTCTTCTATGGTAGTAATTCAGGTGGCTAGTCAATTCTCAGCACACAACTCCCTTTTTGTCATTTTCATTTCTCATTAGCAACCCCAATTAGAACATGAACAGAGTACAGAAAAGGATGTAAAAACTCCAAATCTGTTCATATCCCAGTTGGCAATTCTAATTAAAGTTTGATGGCATGATGTAGGAAAAGTGAGAAATGAGCCCTGGGGATTACCTTGGATTGATATTGTTCGTACCATTCATTCCTCCATTGAGAGTTGGCTAGAAAAATGTCTGACTCATCTCATTAGGTATGTCTTCAAACCTAATTCCTGGATATGTAGTAGTTGTAGCAGTATTGGTTCTCCTCCCCTTTCTTTTCTTGCCCTTTGCCACTTTTCTTTTTTCCTCCCTCTCTCTTATGCCCTGTTCTAGCCTAGCAAACAAACAAGACAAGAAGAAAGCCCTGTTGCCTTGTGATATTGTCAAATATCTACTTCTGGAAAGACTGGTGAATAAATGCCTGTGCCGAGTGGTAAGCATCAACCCCTTCCTTCCCTCTTCCTCTAGAGCCCAACTGGTGCAGCCCTTGGGCTATTCTATAATCAACCCCATATATTGGGTTTGGGGCAAAAATCTCTCCCTACTGGACAATATTGGCAGTGAGGATTTCTGACTTGATGGTAGTAACAAATATCACATTCTGCCTTCAAAATAGGTCTGTAAAGTTGGATTTTTTTCCAGCATGTAAAGTATGTTTTATTGTTCTTTAAAGTGTTCAGGGTTTGGTTTTAAATCAGGCTGCATGCCATTTACCAGTTTGACATCTCTCTCACCATGCCAAACTGGCTGCAGCTAGCAATACTTCATTAAATCCAAAAGAAAAATTGTTTTAATTTTGAGGATAAAATCTAGTTCTGAGAACAATTAACATTAGTCTGTAATTTAAAACAAAGTGAGGGCTAATATTTCATGTTGCTTTATACATCTTTCTCCTCAATACAGAACCAGGAATATAATTTTCCTAACTCAGGCAGGGACTGATACTAGACACTGCACACACACATGCACACACGCACACACACACCCTCCCCCTAAACAAAATTCAGAGGATGTCAAAGGGAAAATGTTTGTTATGATATTGATCAAAACCCTTGGAGTCAACAGTCTATCTTAGTTTAGTGGGTATGTTGCTTTGATCTTGAGTGTATGTTCTGAAATAAAGAATTTTGGATAGTACCATCATTTTTTACTTTAAAATTCTAGAAACAATTTCCAAAAGCATTTTGTTTTGTTTTCTGGTATTGGGGAGGAGAGAGTCTACAGATTTGCATTTAATTAGAAATCAAAAAAACTCCGGTAATGGTAAATAGGTAGTTCACATAGCTGGCCAACATCTGAGGTATTATCAGTGTGAGACAAGGTCCTGGGTCCATTCCTACTGGCCTAGCTGATGTTAACAAAATGGGAAGCTTATGGCTCCGCACAGCAAATTCCAGCAGGACAAGTTTACTCTAACCCTGTATTCAGAGCCTTAGAAGCAGGGCACTATTGAGTATGTAATATTTAGGTGAAAACAGTGCACAAGCCTCTGATGGTACCCTCTACCTGCTTTGTCAATGCAGCCTGGTCATAACTGCCTTCCACAAAGGAGCAAAAAATCAGCTTTTCTAGATCAGCATATCAAACCCAGCAAAAAATCTGTAAAAATGCTACCACACCACCTCACAAAGCAACACAGTCCTTTTGCTGCTCATTAGGTTGCTTGATTATCTCTTCTACCCCGTTATGGCCTATGAACACGTACTCACTAGGCATCACTGTTGATTTTAAACAGGTGATTTTTTTTTCTAAAAAAGAACCTAGTTATGTTTTAATATCTTCATTTTATGACTAAAAAGCTAAGTCTCAGAGACTCTAAGTGACTTGCTCAAGTTCACACACTCAAGATACCACAAAAGGACCTCAGCTTTGGTGACTTTCATTTACCTCCTCAGATGTGAATGGTGAGTGTCTCCAAGGAAGTCTCAGAGCCTCTTTAGGCACAGCAGAGCTTATGTGTACTTCTGCTCTTTGGATGGCAGCGATTGGGCTTGTGGGCCCCAAGGGTCCCAGGCTTCAGGTTTGAAGCCTTCTCTTCTCTTTTTTGTCACAGGAGCCATGTTCAGCCATCAAAAACCTTGAGAGGAAGAACCATCAGTCCCTAATTGATGGACTGCACTGGCTATTAGCCGCCATTGAGGATGAACACGGACAAGTGTATACTCGCCAACAGCCACTTACCTCAAACATCTCAACCTCCAAGAATACCAGAGGCTCTAGAGAAAGATACTTATCAGACTGGTACTGAGATGCGTGTGTTAAATTTACCGATAAGAACAGAAGCAGGAGTTAATCTTCCACATGAGCAGGGAGTTCTGGGAGGTGCTTGGATCCTGGGTGGCACTGAGCAAGTCTCTCAACATCATTTAGCCCACCGGGGTTAGGGCAATGCTCACCAACATTTCAATAGTGTTAGGTATGCCCCATCCCTGGCATAATTTGAATGGTCATATGAGTGGAATGAGCTTCATAAAGGTAAAGCCAGCCTATGAGCATCATAACTTCTTTAAAACAGGGTTTCTATTCTCCGATTTGCCATGTGGAGGAGAAAATAAATGTGGGCCCTTTAAGGAGCCTGCTGGCATTCTTCTATGGATGAATGTTGTGAAGCTGTTCCACATTCTCAGCCCCAAGCTCTCTGATCCTCTGATAATGAGGAATGATGGGAGAGAACAGAAATGTTGAAAAAAGGAAAAAGAAAGAAAAAGAAAACAGGAGGTAATCAGGGTTTTGAGAAACACAAGGCCTAAGTGTCCTCCTGCTCTTTGTCACTGTCGTTGCCCAAAGGGATATGGCAGGGATGCGGTAGTAGCTGCATTATATAAAGAAGATTGATGTGTGACTGTTTTGACCATTGCTTTGTCCTTTTCATCTTCCCCAGCTTCTCTACCACAGCAAGAACATCCAAAGAGAAACAACATGTAGGACAACACTCAATGGAAGCTAGGCCCCTAAAGTCAATCCTACAAGTAAATGGCTCTTTAAATGTTATATCCAGGGACTAATTTCTGAACTCTTGAGTACCAACTGACTTTCCCTCTTCCACCCCATCTTCTTGCTGTACAGAAAGAAGGTTTAAGGCCTAAAAAGAACAAATCAGTAACGTTTGCTTTAGATGAACCCATGGAGAAAGATGAATGTTCTGAGGAAAATGGAGCTCAGAATACTACTGAGCTTCACTACAATCAAAGTGATGAATTACAGAATCAAGCTCCATATGGTGATGATACTCTTTCTGAAGGTAATTTTGGTTCTGTGATTAGAAAGTCAAATATAAATAGGCCTCCCCTCACAATTTCTATAATAGCATTCCAATTTTGAACCTGACATTATTTTCTCACACTATGGTTAGTGGTTAGGAGAAGAAGAGAAGTGGAAGAAGTACAGGAAGAATGCTTGAGGACCACCTTCTGGTAGCCTAGCATGCTGCTCCAGCACTGGTTGACACAAGATTGTTAGATGGCTATAAGGTTATCTTAAAGGTTATGATTTCCAGTGGTGGAAGTACAAATTAGTACAGCCTTTATGGAGGGTGGTTTGGCTGTCTATCATATATATATATATATATATATATATATATATATATAAAACATTTTTTATATATATATATAAAAAACATTAAACATATAAATATATATGTTTAATATATATATATAACATTAAACATATATATAAAACATTAAACATATGAATATCCTTGAGTCAGTAATCTCATTTCTTGAGCTGTATCCAAAGATAATTACACAAGTACCCACAAAAAGTATGCTCAAGAATGTTCAATCACAACATTGTGTACAACAGCTAAAAGCAGAAAACCTGCATGTCTAAAAATGGGGAATGGCTAAATAAATTAGGATACATTTACACAGTGGAATGCTATGCAGACATTCAAAAGGTTAATGTTGTTTTATATTTATTACATGGAAAGTTTTCCACAATGCATCATTTTGTTAGTGAAAATAGCAAGTTAGAGTACAACATGATATGTATAAATACATAGAGATTCCTGGAGGGATATCACCCAAAGATACTAGGTGATTTTGAGAATTAAAAGGCCTAGGTGACTTTCCTTTGAATTTTTTTATTTTACTGGAAGTTTTCTTTTTTCTTTTTTTTTCTTTTTCTTTTTCTTTTTTTTGAGTTGGAGTTTCACTCCGTCGCCCAGACTGGAGTGCAGTGGCTGCTCCCGGCCACCGCAGCCTCAACCTGCTGGGCTCCGGCGATCCTTCCGCCTCAGCCTTCCGAGAAGCCAGAACTACAGGCACGTGCTATCATGCCCGGCTGATTTTTTGATTTATTGTAGAGATGAGGTCTTGCCAAGTTGCCCAGGTGGGTCACGAACACGCCGGCTTAGGCAATCCACTCACCTCAGCCTCCCAAAGCGCTGGGATTACAGGCTGAGCCACCGAGCCTGGCTTTTCTTTTTTATAATAAGCAGAATATCATTTCTGCCAATATAACAAATACATTTTCCTAAAAAGCTGTGAGGGCTTGAGATCTTACTGTAGTTACTGGTCATTCCTTCTCAGTGCTCTTTGGGACGTCAGTCTCCAATATTGTCATCTGTCAATATTACAATGTCACCTGAGCTCTGAAAGGGATCAGACCCTTCAGGCTACCTTGGAGTTTTGGACTGTTATACCTACATGGAGGGGCCTAGACTTGGTCAAGTCCACTAAGGAGGAGATAGACACTGCTCTGGGGACAAAAGGTGAGGATGAAAGTTGAGTAGAAGGAAACTAGTAGAAGAAAAAAATTAATTGTTTTTCTAGATGTCAGCAACTATCCTAAATATTTGTCCAAAATGGAATCTATTTTTATTTCTATAACCTCAGAATCCAGGCCCAAAAAGAGAATGAATCCTTGGGACACAGAGGAGATATTACTAGAAAATCCCTGTGAAGAAGCCTTTGGCTCCCATGGTTAGTATTCCTTAAATGAAGGGCAGAGGGGAGAGAGCAAGAAAAAGTATGAAGCTGAGGCAGAGGGTGGGTGCCTTGTGGGTGCAGTCCACAGTCCCTTGGAAGCTGGCCAATATTCTCCTATCCTGAAGTGGTCTGGGAAGGACAGAAAACCTGGCATCTGGCTTTGCTTGCAGTGACTGGTCACTTTTTTTCTCTTTTTCCTTTTAACAGACTATTAAAGAGAAAAATGGAAGGAAATCAAAAGAAACATCTAGTATTCCTCCCTCAGCAAATGGACTTATCTGCAAAACCATCAGAACTACTTAGTTTTTAAATTTCTGTTTGATACTACCTCTACAGTCCCCCTACAATTCCACCTATTCTAACACCATATTCCTGAGAACCCCCATTTTTCCTGTATACATACAGTCTAGCCATCAAAGTAATCCTATACTCACCAAGAGGCTCAAGAAAAGCTAGGTGCCATCCATTTGAAGACCACCTTGGAAAAGGACAGAGACTTTACATCCTTGTACCCAGATACTCCCAAGGAAGCCTGCAGACAATAGGTTGTGTGTAACCAACCAAAATTGAGCCTTAGAAGTACAGGGTTGATTTAGAAACACATGGTTTTTTTCTTTAAGGTTCTTGGGTGTAAAGGGACTAGCAAAAATAAATACTACTTCTTTGCTGAGAATTATGCTCTACTGAACCATTTTCAGTCACATCTCTATAAGCAACTTAGTTTTAATGTCCCAGCCACTGTCTCTGAAGCCAAGGAATAATTGCTTTGCTGTCCCCTCAGGAACAGCAACTGCTGCTTCTCCTAACACTTTGGTTAAGTATGCAAAAAACGTAGGAGCTTGAATGCATTCAACTGTCTATCCCAAGGGTGGTAGTGGTAGTAGTGGTAGTTATTTACTACTACTACTACTACTACTACTACTACTACTACTACTACTACAGGTTGAGTATCCCTTATCTGAAATATGTGGGACCGAAATGTTCCAGATTTCGGACTTTAGCATATGTGCATTATATATACTATTGGTTGAGCATCCTTAATCTGAAAATCCAAAATGTTTCAATGAGCATTTCCTTTGCTCATCATGTCAATGCTCAAAAAGCTTTGAATTTTGGAGCATTTCAGATTTTGTATTTTTGGATTAGGGATAGCTAGTCTGTATTACTTTCATGAGTACTATAGCTACAGTGCTAAGTTTTTCGCATGTGTTATCTTATTCACAGCAACCCTTAGGGATAGGCACTACACGTGACTGCATTTTACAGATGAGGAAACTAAGGGGCAGATAAATCAAATAACTTGTCCAAGGTTTTACAGCCTGTAAAAAGCAGAGCAAGATGTTGTCACTCATATGTGGGAGCTAAAAAAGTGGATCCCGTGAAAATGGAGCGTAGATCGGTAGCTACGAGATACTGGAAAGCAGAGGAGGGAGGGGGGTGTGTAGAGAAGTTGGTTAATGAATGCAAAAAATACAGTTTGATAAAAGAAATAAGAACTAGTGTTTGACAGATTGGCAGAGTGAGTGTAGTTTACAATAATCTTTTGTGGATTTTAAGATATCTAGAAGAGAATAATTCCAATGCTTCTAGCATAACGACAAATATTTAAGGTGATGAATATCCCAATTACACTGATTTAATCTTTACAAATCATATGAATGTATTAAATTATCACAAGTACCCCCAAAATATAGACATCATTCTATAGCAATAAACAAATTAAATTAAACTTTGGGTGAGAAAAAAAAGCAGAGCAGGGAATTGAATCCAGATCTTTTTGACTCTAGAGCTACTTAAAGCCAGAAAGATCCACCTATGTTTTTCTCAGACTCAATTCAGAAAGAGAAAGCTATATCGAGGAAAAAATGCTGAAGTGTATACCCATGTCAGGAGAATTAATTTGATATCAATAAGCAAACCAATAGTGGTAGCAGACACCTTCCATTTTGCCAGGTGCTGGGCTAAGTACTTTACATATATTATTGCCTTTCATTCTCACAAGATTTGAATTTGATTCTATTATCACCATCTTACCAAGGCAGAAATTGATGCTCAGAGAGATTAAATAATTTGTCCCAGGGAATCCACTATGAGGTGGCAGAACTGGTTTTCCAACTAAGGTCCACCTCCATAATACATACTCTTAGCTCTACCGTATACTATCTCACCAAGCAATATAAACCAACTAACCCCTAATTGTTTCTAAGGAATGTAGACCTTGCACAGAAAAGTGTCTTACAACTCCATATGGAAGGTCTGACACTGTCTAAGGTTGTATCATTTGCTCTTATCTTCAAGGGAACCACCCTAAGGAACTTACAGGTCTTTGACAGGATTCTGACTGAGGCTCAGCTTATTAGTTATGGGGCTGGAAGGAACCTTACAGAGCCTCTAGTACACCCCCTGTTATCTGGATGAAGAACTCAGGGTACATAGAGGTTAAGTAACTTGCCCAAGATGGTACAGCTAATCGCTGGCAGAGATGCTCCTAAAACCCAGATCTCCTGTGTGCCCAAGCCAGTGATCTACCTTGTCGAAAAATACTGCATCTTCCCTGGGTCTTCTTTGGCAACTTAGCCCATCTATTTTCTTCTAATTTGCTCAATAAATGTCACTGGAGAATTCTGCTGACACTCATTCTTACTTGGGAATGCAGCAAATATTCCTGCTGAGGAGGAGTTTTATCAGGAAGGTGACTACAATACAACAAAGCATGATTCCTAAGAAAATTGGACTGGCCACATTTCTCTTTATGGCATGTGTATTTATGAGGCAGGAGTACTTTTTCAGCCAATAGAAAAGAGGAAGAGGGTGGGAAAAGAGCATACCCTATGAAAGGGTAAACTGAGGCAAGGTGGGCCAATACCACAGGAATAATACAAGATTGCAACAAAGAAGGAAGTATAAAGAAGTAAAGTTTATTTTTCACCTTTCACAGATGGAAAGGGGGCTGGCACTCAGGTGAGTGTGGCTCCGAAGCGCTGAGGACTAGGCATATTTAAGGCCCTTGGGACAAGGGGGGTTTGGGTACAGAAGGGTTTGGGCCAAAAGGAATGTACAGGGCTATGTTCTTGATATTGAAAACAGTCACATAAATCTTGGATCTTGACATGCCAGGCACTAGCATCTCAGGACCTTGGGTGGAAGGCTGGAGGCTGGTCATGGTTGGGTGATAATAATGTATCAATACAGATGCCTCCCAGTGGTGGGCTGGAGGTTGTCATAGACAGTTATTAACATATTGATACAAATGCCTGGAAGAAAGATTGTTAGGAGGACTGGACATGTTGAAGGGGATTTGAATAATTGCTGATTTCTAAGACCTGACCCAGGGAAAGCAGTTCTGGCAACCAGTTTCGGAAAAGGTAATTTTTCTTATTAATGATTGTAAAGTAAGAGGGACGTGGAAGCCGTGCAAGCTGCTTAGCAAAGCGTGCAATGGTAAAACTTAAGCAAAATGGCTATACTAGGGCAAAATGGCTGTGCTGAAGCTAAGTCTATTCTAACTTTCCTGGGGTCCCTCCTTTCACCCCATGAATGTGAGCTGGGTGGAGAATTTAGATTAGACAACCTCTAACAAAACTGAATTTCGGTATAATGCTGCACTTCCCATTGTGCAATGTATGTGTTCCCGGGTGTCAACCAAATCTTCCTACACAGAATCTATCAATTACAAAAAGTTATTTAAGAATACCCTCCATCTCTGATACAGTCAGTATACCCTTAAAGGGAAAACAAAATCTTTTTTTGTGAATCATAATTTTGCTGCTACAGGTTATTAATGTACTTCCCAAACCCCTTATCAAGCTGGGTGATCTGGCAATTTTCCCCAGTGAAGACAAGAATAACAGTACCTACCTCACAGGCCTGCTGTGAAGTTTAAAGGGGATGATCTGTACAAAAATGTTTAGCATAGTGCCTGTATATCCTAAGTAGCTCATTAAATGTTAGCTACTATTATTACAATTTAGGGAAGGAGCTTGACCAGATCATTGGAAAGGTATATCCCCACTTCTGGGAGGGTATCCCCTTTTCTGTAGAGAACAACCCAAATAGAGATGTCTTAGATTCTAAGTACAAAGAGCATAGAGAATCTAGGGTAATTACAACTATTGCTTCCCTTATCTGTGGCTTTGAGAATCCTAAATTTGCCAAAGAGGTTTTACTAATCTGTATCTCAGTGTGACATCCCAGGGACCAAGATAAGGAGTTTCTTGAGCCTGAAGGGCAAATTTTCTTAAAGGCCTATGGTTGCCTTGAGGTTTCTTTTCTTTAGTTGTCAATGGCTTGGCCTCTCTCTGGGACTTTTAGAATGTAGCTCCTGTTAGAGGCACTTCTAGCATATGAATGAACCTGGGCCATCATTCAACAATCTCCACATGACTCTGTGTATTTCTCTTTCAAGAAAGACCTGGGCTCTCTGACTAGAGAATTCACTATGAATAGATAGAGTGGTCCCTCTGCTCTGAATGGTTTGCAATTCCTACACTTCCGTCCCCACTTTTTATTCACTTGTGTATACCTGCCAGTAGTACCCTGTCAGCAGGGATGCTAAGCAGTCTATGGTCAGTAGGACATGGCATACATATAGTGAACACGCGGCAAAAGTTAAGAAAGAACACTGATAATTCAAAGTAGCATGGAAACCAATAGTTGCTAATTTAGCTGTAAATTCCCCAGAGATTCGAGTGTTGAGTGCTTGGGTCATACTAGTTGTGCTTTGAATATCACTCTTCCCTCCCAGTATCCTCTTTAAATCACTTGTCAAGACAGTTGTTATTAGCAAGACATAATAATCAAGTACACTGAATGCATCACTCTTCTCAGGAGAATCCTGCCAACTAGTATTCTTAACCATAAGATGCTGTTGGCCATGGCTAGGATAGGGATCAAGCCTAGACTCACTGATTTGTTACTCAACCCTGTAAACCCTTTATTGGAAGTCCAAAACTTTCTGATGGCAAGGGGTGTAGAGAATGAGAGCTGTCATTCAACTTTCCAGGACTGGAAATCATCCCCTCATCCCACTTCATTTCCATAGGTGCACCTAGAAGAACTATAACCATGGCACCCCTGACCTGTGCCTTATTCCTTTAGCTGTAATAATCTATCTTCCTACTGCCCTTGCCTTTTCTATCATGTGAAGCTCTGTGGAAAACACAGGTGGTGGTGTTATCCTGGGTTAGAGAGAAAATAGCAGATAGTTTCTGCTGTG